ATTTAATTAAAATAATAAAAATACTTATAAACGTATAAAATTCATGATGATATCAAAAGCAAATCATAATAAATTGATTAATTTCATCACATTATAGTTATAATTATACTAAAAATATCTTTAATTATATTAAAATAATTTTATAAGATTGAATTAGACTTAAGTGATCTAAAAATTTGCTTTCTTATTTAGTCAAACCCGAAGATGAAATCCAGTTTTGTTAGTCTTTTTAGTAGAGTCAGTTTTTTTACAAGACTAAATCGAATTAGATTTATCCAAGTTAAACCGAATTGTACAGGATTCGACAACTTTTGCGCAAGTCTACTTCCACGTGTATATCGTTCTCGACTCCTCGTCACAAGATGGCACTTGCCCTGCTTGTGATAGGACTCTTGTATGCATGCCATGCCATTTAATTTGAAACTCGATCGAGAATTAGGTTAGCACTTATTGTAAAGGATGCATAGGACTTGATGGGAGATTATTAAATCCTCCAAGTGTGCTGTGCCTGAACTTGAGTATGAGAAGTCTCACATTAATAAAATCAAGTTTAATAATTAATATATAATAAAAAATAAAATAATAAACTTAAGATTTAAATTTATGATGAGGTATCATTCTGTTATAGTAAAATATAACACTGTCTGAAATTCAAAAATTAAATTCACCCTAATTGCATTTAGGAGGAAATTGTTACGTTGTTTTAGCATAAGTGATGCATAATTTTACTAGCTATTTCAATTTTGTTAAAGAAAGCTCCATTTTTTGTTAAAAATTGTTGTTTGGGTCCCATATATTCGAGAAGTTTAATCCGTTTAATGATGAAGTATTTTATATATAAATTTATAGAGACAATATCGTAGCATTTTATAGTGATGACAACAACTATATTGAAGTGTCCATTATTTAAATTTAAATCACATTCGTATATACTTTTAACGAGTTTTATTATCAAGTTCAAAATTTAAAGTCCAATCCAAACGAATATGGTCCCTCAAATTAAACATGCACATCCGTCCATACATTTTACTATAGGTTATTCCTCATTGCTGCCATTGACTTTTGACTGCGTCATAACTATGCATGAGATCCCAAATAATTGAGTGATGACTAACCAACACTGTCAAAGAAATTCAAAACGGAAATTCGATGTTTCAAAACGTATGATTCAAACACACACACACACATATATATACAGTGTCAACGAAATTATTTTGTTCAATGAACGTTGCAAAAAAAAAAATATAAGGTTGCGAAATCGTATATTCCTGAAACGTAGTAGCGCATCCACCCCCACAATGGGGGAAAAAGAGAGGCGAAAGAAAGAATAAAGAAAGAAATTAAAACCTGCAAGTCGAAACACAAAAGAAGAAAGTTGATGAAGGAATCTTTTCGATTACATGCATCAAATCCTTCGCTCTTGGGCCTCCCTTTCCAATTTTAAACACTTGATTTGAAGCACCATAATGCAGACAATTGTTTATAATATGCCTCAAAATGGAAGTTTATGGGCTATGGCCGGCTATAATTGTATCAAAAGGCCGAACGCATCATAGATTATATCTAATTTGGAAAGTGGTAGGTGACACGCATACGTGGCTGAGCCTTGTCTCGGTCTTTGGAAGCATCATATATTCCTTTACCTTTAGTTAAAAGAGCGCAAATTTTACCTTATCGACGGGATGCCATCATCAACTTGTTAGCTGGTTTAAATATATTACTATATGCAGTTCCAGTTTCACTTCAACGTTGCTGTTAAGCATTATCACATATCTTGTAAAGATGATTAATTATTGCAGTGAAAATCATGTTCATCATGATAGTTTCTAAGAGACGCCTAATGATTAAACATGTACATGCTCCACTCCAAACATGTTTGGGTGCCTTGTACATTTTCTAGCGACCTGAACGAGAGAAACTTCGTTCATTTGAATTATCTACATAGGATTTAAGTGATTTAATTTTATTATTTTAATTTCTAAAAAAAATTGATGTTTTTGTCTTAAAAATTCTAAACTGTCAAAGTCTGATTTCTAACAGTAGTTTAGACAACACGGATTATGACTTGATGAACATAGCGGGGATATAGCAATAATGTTTTTTGTTTTTGGTTCGCTGGAATGGTGGTAGCAATACTAATACAATTAAAATGACAAATTCTTGCAAATCATACAGCATCGGTTTAACTGGTGGAACCACATGTTGAAATTATATAGGATTTTGTCACGAACAAAGTTCGCTGTATGTTTTAGCACGAAATTTGAATAGATCGTGCCTGCATCAATCCAGCTAAAATTCTCATAGAAAAAATTATGAAAATATATAAAATTGAATAGTTACATACGTAAAACATACAATAAAAATTAAACACTTGACGTCGATCCGTTGAAGTATTTCACTCATAATTCACAATTCATTCAATTGTACGGAGTCACACGAATATATTCCTAGGTTAGGAAAATAAGCAGATAAAATCCTAATCAATATTTATCACTTATCATTCATACACGGTGAAACGAATGAGCGAAGTTGTGTCATGTCAACTCGCGGATCATTATTTTCGTCCGTCGAAATGAATTCAATGGTATAGCTTACCTCTCGACCTGACAAAACCCAACCAATGGCCCTACTCCAAAGTAATTTTCACGCTCTGAATTTTCCCTTTGCAATTATGCAGATTTTCTTTTCTTTTTTGAGTCCTTCTACAAAGCACAAGGCTTTTATACATATCTCAAAAGAAGTTGGATTAGACTTGAGCTTTATTTGTCAGGGAAGTTAAAAAAATTAATTTAATCAATATTTAGAGGTGGGAATACATATGTTTGTTTTCAAGTACTAGTATGAAAAGAAGTAACTGGAGTGGAAAGGGTTTTCCATTGATGACATAAAAATGTGTCCAAATCAGCTGAGGGTCCTGGGCTCCTTATTATTGGCACTTGGATGAGTATATTATGTATTCATATGTTCATAACTACTCATCAGTATATATAAACGATTAAGTCCCCACTACTTATAATACACGAAGTTCATTGTGTGGCCATGCATGAAAATGTGCTTTAGCTCACATAAAAGAGCAGCAAAAGGAGAAGGGAACCACATCGTTCTCATGACTGTAAAGCGCTGACACAAAGACGGTGATTGGGGAACAGTGAAACCTCAAAGGGTTTGAAGGTGAGGAAGGAGAGTAAAGGCAGAAGAATGCATGGAAGAAGCAGAGCTTTTGCATCGACCCTCTGAAACAATTAAATGAAGCAACAATGGCAGATAAGATGAAGGATGCTGGGGGACAAGTGTGGGGCCGTCTTGTCATATCAGCTTCGTTTTAATGGACCATAATATATCACCTCCTTAGCCACAGTCCAATACTCTTCCTGCTGTCTTCATTTACCTTATTACCCTCCACTTTTCTTCCGCTCTAATCCAGATTCCGGACAGAAAAAAGAGTGCCTCGTACAAATGAGAAGATAAGACGAATTGACATTCTTTCCATTCCAATGAAAACTGAGTCTATTACATAATAACGAAAAAAATAATAGAGAAGTGATCGCGTGCACTTTCTCTTCGTCAGTCACTTTCGTTCTCTCCTGCAGCAGTACTACGGGGGAGGCTTCACCTATCTTAATAAACTTATAGGTTCTTCTGATGCATGCTATCGTCATGTTAGGGAAAAGACCAGAGTTAACACTGCCAAACTGTATTCAAGTCTTTTTTATCCCTCATCCAAATATAGCCATCAAGCTTATGTTTGTCGTTCGTCACAAATAAATAAATCAAGCTCACGTCTGTCTCTACCCGAAGCTTGATCGTATCACTGTCAAGTGAAAGCGTTAGAAAGTAGAAAAGAAGAATTGAGAGCGTGAGGGAATCCTTGTCACCGTCCACGTTCTCAACAAATGGCAACCAACACGGAAAGATGCTCGGCCTACAATTTGTAGTCGTGCGAGTAAAAGAAAACAGATGTGAGAAAGACTAGGCTTTAGCATAAAATGCTGAAAGTAGGACGGGAATTTTCAGTACGATTATCTGTGGCATCAGCCAACTTGGGCCTTTCTTGAAGTCTGAAAGAATGAAATGAGAGCAGGTGAGCCCCTATATATGGGAATGAGGCCTTCTTTTTACTTTTTAGCGAGAGAAAGAGGCTTTTTCATTTTTTTATTATGTTTTTCTTTTAAAGACAATCTTATTTAAGCTACAACCGTATATAAAACATATAAAATATAACAGGATAAAATAAGAATAAGATGAGCCCTATACATGGAAAGGAGGCCATTTTTTCCCACGACAAACGAGGCTTTTTTTTGGCAAAAAAAATTGTTCACCACACATTCAAATACAAGTATCCTGTTAATATTAGAGACAATTTTGTTTAACACCCGGTCGAACACTAAGTATACATCTTTTTCAACAATTATGGTGAGCATTTGGGCGTCAAGTCATTGCTCATCTCATTTTATCTTTAATATGAAAACAAAGGAGTTACACTGTTTTAATATGTAAATAAAGTAATTATTCTTTTATCAGACTGCACATACACTTTTATTTCATTTTGATAATTTAAAATACCAGAAAAAAGGGTATAACTTTCAACGAACTTTGAAGTTATTAATATCTTTCCTCTAAATTGTAGAGAGAAATGACATTTAGCATATAATATATATATATATATATATTTCTCTAATCTCATCTATAATGTTGGGAAAAGATTAATTTTGATTTTATTTATAAGACACTTTACTATTTTTTATATTAATAATTGTCTTTCTACCTTTGTTAAATGCTAAAAAAATTATTAAAAATTATTTTTTTCTTATAAGGAGCTAGAGGTAGAGGTAGAAATTTATTATATTTTAAGATAAAGTTAATGGAATTTCAATTTTTTTTTTGTTTCAAAAAATTATACTAAAAAATAATCTGAAAAATGTGTGTACTTATGAATGTATGTCAAGTTTTAGTTGGGGCACTGAGAAGCACAATAAAGGCAGAATAGTAGAAAGCAACGGTGATAGAAAAAAGGGAATCAAGTAATCTTATTCCTCATCTGCCAGTGCATTGCACTTAAACTGGGAAGTCGCGCACTTGTTGATTTCCCTCTACACAGAATATGATCACCAATGAACAAAGCAGATACAAAAGAACTTGAAGATTACAAATTAGCCGTGGGTATTTCTTTTCTTTTCTTTTCTTTCTTTTTTTTTAAAAAAAAAAACCTACAAGGTCATACCACATTAGAGATTAGACGATTGCCCAGAACCTTTTTCTACAAAATAACACGGTTTCCATCTTCTTTTCTTTGTTTTCCAGAATTTGTGACTCCACATCCCACATAAAGTGAGGGGCAATATCTTTGATGCGGGACAAAATATGCTCCTCATCCCTAATGATGACAAATCCCTGCACATTTATGTTATGGATTCATCAGTTAGTAAGCACAGCATAACAGATAAGTAGCAAGAGTGCAGCATTAAAAGCATTTTTCAACAACCAAGGAGTTCTGCAAAGTGAATCAAATCAGCGTCAACCACCAATAGTTCAGGATCCAGGAGAGTAATGCTACTTTTGTTTAACCTTGTAATTTTTGCATGGTTAGATTCTGGACAGCCATACGCCTAATCTATCCTAATAACTAGACCCCTGCAATTTAGTGAGAACTTTTTAACAAGGAAAAAAAAGTGTTCAGAATCAATTTTCCCAAGCCTGTGACAGCAAATTCCATGTACCTCCATATTGAACAGAGCCTATTGAGAACAGAACAAATTTCATCAGTTCATTACTGAAAGAGCCTATTGAGTTCATAACCAGATTTTCTTTGGTTTGCCTTCACCTTCTGTGTTCCTAGAATGCTTAAAAAATGTATCCTGGGAATGGGATAAAAACATAAAGAACAGGTACGGATTGGCATGGGTCTGCCTGTCAAAAAGTTCTCAACATTATTTTTCGGTCAGCAAATTAGCAGACGTCCAAATAGTAATTTTTCTTTTGTAATACATGACCCGTCAGTGTCTTAAATATATGACATGCATCTATTCTGCTTTTGTTGCTTTCAATTAAAATAGAATATCATTATAGATTGTCAAGAGATTATCAAGCTTATCTTTTCCTCTTCTTGCTAACTCTTTCAATAAATCCCTGTCGTCATTACACATTTGAAGAGATCACAATATAAAAGCCAATATTATTCTAACATTCTGATTCGTCCAAGCTACATAATCAGTTTCTTCAACTAACAATACGACATCAAACATTTAAGAATGTTGTAATGTGAAGGCAATATCAAGTAGTTTCCTGCGCATAACCACTATTACCCCCTCAACTTTGATTTTAATTGTATTTACAAGTTTAATTAAAGGCCAGACTGAACTCAATGCACTCGAGCAGGCATAGAAACACATTTGCACATGTATATATGCATTTATATTAGATATGACAAAATCATATTCCATCTGCTCCTCAGGCTCCTATTTTGATATCATATATAGACCATTGTAATAACAACTTTAAGAAAGGTGATTACCAGTGGCCGTATAAGACGATCCATTTCTAGCATGATATCCACAAGCAAGCAACCTTCCCCCTGGTATTTGTAATGCGAGAAGAGATAGTTGGCGTGCAACAAATCATATGACCGAGGATAACTTGAGAATGCTTCACACCTAATTAAAAGATATATGTATTATCTGCTTGCTAACTAATAATAGTTGTACTTACAGATATCACCAAAGATATTTACAATATCAGCAGTCAAATCTTACCAATCATGGAAAGTTCCAATCAGTCCTCGGTCATAAATTCCAGACAAGGTGTTCTTCATGCTTGCGGGAACTACATTCATTACCCAAACAGGAAAGTTATTTAACGCTGCAGCAAATCCACCACAAAAGGCATTCATATCCATCACGTTGCGTATATCTGTCTCCCTGATATTCATCATTCTCCAATAATGATGAATCTGATCTTGCCAGAACTGGGTGTCTGATGTAAATTCATCTCGGTTTATACCTGTTGTTAAGAAGTTCCAGGTTCAACTCATTATATTGAAGGACACTTTTAAATGCATCAAATTCACACGTATACCAGCAACAATGTTTTATAATCTTACAAAGAACAGCCCAACACCATCGTTTTGATTGTCTAATATTTGCAAACCCACTTATCCCCATTAGATGCATGCAAGAGAACAGCGAATTCTTCTCCATATTGATCAAAGATATCAACCATAATCCTATGAGAACATAACCATGAATGCAATTTGGGGAAAGTACTTGGATACAAACTTCTTTTAGATTTAAGATAAGACTTTATTTGGACAAAATATTCAAAGCATTCGTAATGTTAATCCTGAAGATTAAGTCTTTGATTAATTGTAAGTTAATATTAAAAGCAGGTCCATCATTAAACCTTAACCTTTTGAAAGCAAGATTCTTCACGTGTGTATCTGTACAGTGCACGTGTCCATATAGAAAAGCATAACCTAGCTTCTTGCACTCATAAAAGAGAATGGGCAGACCTAACTTGCTGAGACTCTCAGAAAACACTGAAAGACGCTCAGGTCTTGGAGGAAGCTTGTAAGAGTCTGTATCAGAATTCTGAACATCTACACAATTTCTTAGAGGGATATTCCATGAAGGCTTAGAATTATCAATCACATCACAGACATTTATAAGACTTTGTCTTGCATTGTGGAGGAGGCACGACTGACTATCTTTTTTAATCCATATCGCTGTCTGAACTTTCCGAGAAATGAGTCTCCAACACATAGCTGTTGTCAGATTCACTAATTTATCCCAAACAGCAGGAAAATCTTTATCTTTTCGATAAGCAGGTGGAGCCGAATAGACAAAAAATCCATTCGAACGAAGAAGACGATTCACCTCTTTCAGCAAAATCCCATCTGTAGAATTAAACAAACAATAAAACAAGCGAGCGAGTAATGGAATACGAGATTAATGATGAATCCCCAGAATTTTCACCCCGTTTTGCATCAGTGGTCCAATGAAGCTAGGCTAACCCAACTATTGCATGTAACAGCCTTTGAAAAGTATGCATTGTACTACAATTATCCAGATTAAATTAATAGCAGAACCAAGACTGGGTCCAGTTAGGCTAGCCTTGAATCCCAATAATGTTCACATTACCAGCCTTTTGACAAGAATGAGTTGCACCGTTTACTATTAGTTCTATTATAGTAATAATACAGATAATCTGAAGACGTTTGCATAACTGGACTCAACAATTTGAATTATACATACTAAATTGATGACTTAATGGAGCAGAATTCCATTTTAACTGCTACTCACCACATATAAATACATTATTTTAGAATTCTTTCACTTTCTTTAGCTCAAAATATTCTTAAAGGTGAATTATTGAATGCACAGCTTTTTCAAAACCTTAAAAAGGAGTTATTCTTCTTCAACGAGGCAAGTATGAAGAAACTGGCAGTTTACACAACATAGAATGCACATAAGTTAGAATGCCAAAAATCTTCAATGGATACTTTCTAGTAACTTAGAAACATAAGCCCACAAACAAAATAGAAATCTACATCAACAACAACATATGCAAGAAAACATATGAAGTATAACAATTAAATTCAATTTTAACAATATGCACAAAGACTAACTTGGCAAAGAGTAAAATGCACTGCTCCCAGGTTTCATGGGTTAGTTTTACATCATAAACCTCGAGCAAATTTATACAAATGTATTACGGAAAATCCAAAAACAAAAACGTTTAAGCAAAATGTGAATGGATAAATTGTCACTTTTCCGTTGGTCTGCCAGATATAAAGAATGCCAACCAATGGATGCAGATGGCATTCAAATGCTAAATGAAACAATGAATCAACAAGAAAGCATCTGCCAATCCCAAAGTATGATTCAATGCAACATGTAAATAAGTTAAAGAAAGTTTGTTACCATTCTCATGCCAGTCTACACGACACCGTGAACAGTGAACTATTTCAAACGAGCTAGAAGGATACGGTAGTTGCTTTGTGGCCAAGGCAGCAATCATTGCACCAATACCTCGCTCTAAGGCGAATTGAATCTGATTCTCATGACCATCCTTGGGTGCAAAGGACATTGTTTGTATATCCAAGGGAAGAAGATAAGCTCCAAAACTGGCCACGCCACAACCAACATCAAGAACTTGAACTACCCCTGCAGAACGCAGGTCACCAGTCTCGTTTGTTGTCATGTTTCCTAATCTGCAATTGTGAAACCATTAAATTACAAACTATTCAACCATGCAAACTACTACATCCTCTAGATTATTAGATTGAAGAGATAGAAGGCCACAAGAATCAGAGTAACATTTGAAGCGAGAAAACTTGAGAAAATAAAACAGGTAATAGCATGTTTGATAACCATTAAATAACTTGCACATATAATGCCATTATATGGAAACAATATAGTCTTTTTATCCTGGTGTGTGTTTGTGTTTGAGGGAGGGGCGGAAAGAACATTAATGCTCAAATGTACAGTCTAAGCAGGTTTCATAGAGACGCCTATGCTCTCATGACAGTGCACTATATCTATCTCATGAATTTAGAATAAAATAATAGTTCCTGGAAGCAACTTACCCTATTCTAGAAAGAAATATCACCACAATAATTGCCAAGTATCTAGAAATAAAAATACCACAACGATTAATCCCTAATCAAGAAACTACTTCCACAATCAACCCAGGAAACAATTGCCATCAGAGGGAGAAAAAGGAAAGGGGGTGATCTTAATTGCAGCTACCTTTGGATGTACTCAGGGGCCCCATGTTTGAAATGGGTACCACCACCTGGAAACCACCAGAGCTGATCCTTCTCGTGCACCCAATTTTGCCCTCCCTTGACTTCTGCAAGATGTGCATGATTTATATTACTTCGCCAAACATAATCCCTGCTGATAGGCCATCTAATAGGCATTTTATAATCCTTTGGTGGTGGAATCAAGCAAAATAAGCGCTTTTCAAGCGGAGGACAGTGCCTATCCAGTTCTTCTCTTCTTGAGAGATCAAGTTTTGGGAGCAACGTTGCCACATACGATGCATCGTGGCAAGGAATATACTCATTAAACGTCAATGGGCATACATCCATCCCGGTGTTTGAAATCAGTAGGGGTGTTTTGCGGTAAGTCAGAGCAACTTTGTTGCTAAACCTGGAAGTGCCTGCAAGATTCCATAACATTTTTAACACAAACTGCAAAGCAAGCTGTGCTCTAAATAGCAAACAACAACAATTAACGAATTGCATGATATCATTGTGCTCTAAATAACAAAACTTAACACATAAACTACCACTGAGGTACCCATAGGGCGTAATAGTTGGCATGTATGCGATAGTGGTGAAATCAGCGTGAGCAGTCACTTCTATGCATTTCTACAGATAAAAAATATTCAATGACATGGATGGCTGGTATGCAATCCCACTCCAACTATACTTCTATACTAAATACATGATATAAGCACTTGATGGCAGATAACTTAAAACAGAAGCGTTCTGCATGCTACGGTCTTGAAAGAAGGCTTCAAATTCAATTCTAATCAACTTCACATGAGTCAGCACTACTCTGAGCTCGCCCAAGATAGGACACAAACAGTTTTCCTACAGATAGAAAGTAGTCGGAACAATAGTAACGTAGTCCAATTAGATAAGTTAATGGCTAATGGCTCTATTTGACTGATAATTAGCTTAGAGTCCTAATAAATATGAAAATTTTAGAAAATGACAGTGAAAATTATGTGAACCCCACAGCGTAGCTCCAAAAACATAAAAGTATGACAAATCACCGGAAAAAATATACGAATTTGAAGTTTAGTGAGACATGGAAACTCTAGTTTAAGTCAAGAGATTACCGAGAGGGGAAGGAGGAATAGATGAAGAACTGGAGGGATGCTGAGGAACATGAACGGAGCCATTTTGGCCGAAAAAATAGCCCGCATAAAAGGAAACAATCAGCAGCAGCAAAGCAACCATGATTAACTGCCCAGATTTGGAATCAAACGCCAAACCCAGCGCTAACCTATCCATTATGTATCCTTCTTTCCTCCAGCGACCTTGGAGCCTCTCCTGGGTTTCTTTCAGGATGATCGAGAAACGCCAATGGCAACCTGAATGCTAAGGCAGAAATGAGACCTCGAGCTTCAGATGGGAGGGAAAGAGAAAGAAGAAAGAAGAAACTATAAATGCTTGCAGAATAACTCTGCTTCAGCCTTCAAAACTCCACCCTCCAGATCGCTGCCATTTGCTTTTTTTTTTTTTTTTATTCCGCCTTTCTTTCGGTTCTTTCCTTAAATCGCCAATTTTCTGAAAATCGCCGTCGGTAGACAGTTGGCACGTGAGATGCAAGTGGGCATCCCCATCAAGCTACGTCCATCATTTACAATGTTCTCCATGAAACTTGCTTGCCTCTCAGTTTTATGTGATGGTAATCATGAATGATTCTTGTTCGTCATCTTGGCGCCGAGCTGCCGACAATAAATCATACTGTTTAACTAGTGCTCTCTCGAGTCCGGAAAGGTTTTTTTTTATTATTAATAAATCATTTCATTATATTTTCATTATAAATTTTTTTATTTAACTTTTATTAAATATTAAAAAAAAATATATTATTAAAATATATATTTAATGAGAGTAAAATTAAAAAATTATTAAAATTAATAAATTTTAAATTTTTTTAATTTCAATAAAATATGTTAAAAATGTCCTATACATAGCACAAAAAGAGTGGGTTGAAAAGCCAAAAACCGTATTGATTGTACTTTTTTAGCACCCTCTTAACAAAATTAAGAAAATAATTTCCAAATCATATAATTTTGGCATCTGTATTATAAATTTGAACACTTTTTATGAAATAATCACCGACTTACTCCCAAACTATAAGTATTTTTTTAATTAATTTTAATTTAAAATATAAATAAATAATCTAGTACATAAAAAAAATCATTCCATCCACCCTTTGCATTCATTAACTTAAATATTTGTATAAATATATCTCTTACCTATCATAAAGTATTTTGATAATTGATACTAGGAATAAAAAGAAAAAATGATATATTTTTTATGAAAATAAAGAGTTTATTAGCATGTAATTTAAAAAAAACAATTTACATTTTGTATAAGAGGAAGTAGATTGTGTCACGACGCCAAAGATGGGTCAAACTAAGATAGGATTGGGGAATGAAACAATCATTCCAGTCTCTTGAGTTGCCGTTTATTTACCTATCTTCCAAATTCAATCTATTATTGGAAAAAAATTTATATCAATTAAAAATTAATAAAATTTAAATTTTTATTACAGTTTATTAGCCCTTGGATGAAATTAATTTTTTACGTAAAATGATCGAATTGTCTTTAAAATTTAAAATAAAATAAACTCACTTCATTACCATCATTGATGGAGACCTTGTCAATGTCAAAATCACCACAGCCTTACTATTAGCCTATCACTAGAGCTTCAATACTAATGACATTTTTATTCAAGAATAATTGATGAAGGTGGCCAAAGAAATGTTTGATTCTATGATTTCTTGGCTATTTAAAAGCTTGATGATTTAGTGGCTGCCAAACCAATTTAATTATATATGAAAAAATATATAAGTAATAGCTTAAGCTTCTAGACTATTTTCATATTATAACATAACAATGTATTATTAATTACAACACTTTTTATTTTACTAATATTATTTGTTAATTTGAAATGAACAATCACAAGTTGAAAGTTTCAAAAACCCATACATCTTGCTTGTTAAAAAATGTATTATTATTAATCAAGAATGAGTTATTGTCAAAATCTAAATGGATATTTGTTAATGAAAGACTAACGCATATAATTAAGCCAATTACATTAGCTTTTCTAACATATTAATGCTTGAATAGATTGTTGTTAATTTCAAATAAGTTGTTGTTAAAATTTAAACAAATACTTGTTAATAAATGACTAATATTTATACAATTAAACATAACTTGTCCAGGCCGAATGGATTATTGTCATGTTAAAATATGAATAAATACTTATTGATGAAAAATTAGGTTGTACAATTATGCTTATTATATTTGTTTTTCTAACTTGTTAAAGTTCAAATGGATTGTCACTGTCTTTGAATGCATTGTTGTTAAAACCCAAATGATTTATTGTTTATAAATTTATTCCATTAGCTCTGTGCTTTTAATCACAACATCAAATATCTACTCGAGTTTTCACAACAATGTGTTTGAAAATTAATAAGAATTCATTCGAGCTCTAACAAATAAGGAAAATGGATACAATGGACATAATTATATATATTAGTCTATTATCAATAGTTATTCATTCAGATTTTAACAATAACTCATTTAAAATTAATAACAATTTATTTGGGTTTTAACAAGTTAAAAAAAAGGATAGAATTGGCATAATTATACATGTTAATTCTTCATTCATAAATATTCATTTGAATTTTAACAACAACTCATTCAACATTAACAACAATTCATTTATGCTTTAACAATCTAGAAAAACGGATAAGACAGAAAAATTATACATGTTGGTTCTTTATCAATAAATATTCATTCAAATCTTAACAATAACTCATGATAAGTTAATAACAATCCATTGGGGCTTTTACAAGTTAAAAAAATGAATAGAATGAGCTTGATTATATAAATATTAATCCCTTATCAATAAATATTTATTTAGATTTTGATAACAACTTATTTAAAATTAGCAATAATCTATTCAGGTTTTAACAAGTTAGAATAAATGAAATGATGTGTTTAATTGTTCTTGTTAATTATTAATCAATAAGTATTCATTTAGGTTTTAACAGCAACCTATTCATAATTGACAATAATTTATTTAGATTTTTAACAAGTAAAATGCATGAAATGTCAAATCTCTTAATTTGTAATTATTTATGTTAAATTAATAAGTAATATTAGTGAAATAACAAATGACATTCAGAAATTAACAGCATATCATAATGCTATAATACATAAGTGATTTAGAAGCTTGTGTTACTATCCATATTTTTTTTTTTTCATATATAATTAAATGGGCTTGGTGGCTTGGTGGGCCACCAAACTTTTTAGGTGTTTAAAGGGTTGGTAATAGTGTGGATAGCCTTTTTTTTTTTTTTTACTTTAAAGACAATTTAATCATTTCATATAAAATATTAATTATATTTGAGAATTAAAAAACTGTAATAAGAATTCAAAATCAATTAATTTTTTATTGATATAAATTTTCTTTAGCATATCTTGGTTGATACTGTTCCCATGGAGTAAATTGTTTTCCCAATTCATAGATTTATCCCAGCCAACCAAGGAGGATCACTCATTACTCAGACATCCCACTCCTCAATGAAAGTGCCAATTAAACGCCAAGACAGTTTTATGTGTAAAGCCAACAAAAAAAGGCAGCTCATGTTTTGTTTCTCTCAAGGGACAATAAAATTTTTACTTCTATGTTCCAAACCCCTCCACTGTGATCGTGGTCCTATCAATATAAAATATTTTTAACGAACTCACTCATTAAGAACGTCGTTAAAAAACAATTGTCCTGATTTTTTTTTAAATAATCATGCCAGCTTTCCAAAATTATCTTTGTTTCATTAATTTTTCTCCCTGTATTAATTATTTATAAACATTTCATTAATTTTTCTTCATCTCTGCAAGTCATCTTTATTATATAAAAATGGATTAAAAAAAAAACACGCGAGCGAGACTCGCGATTTTTCATTCCAGTTCGAGCGAGTGATGACTTGCCATGAATGATCGACTTGAATATATAATAATAAGCTTTTTTAAAAAAATATACTCCTACTTCTCTAAACAGAGAATGTATGCGATATTAGCGCTATGTGCGAAGTTTAATATGTGTGTTATTGTGATTTGTGACACACTACTTGGTTAAATATCTGGCATATTTAATTAATAGCTTGCTTTGAGAACGCATTCCTTTGAGCGTAATCTCTTTCGAGACACACAAACGCAATCAGCTTCCCTCTTCTGAGGAAAAGCCCTATTCTACTCCTCCATTGGGTGCAGAATTTGAAAAGATTAAATTTTTTATTTTTTATTTTTTCAAAGCTTTCAATTTATAATTATTTATGTTAAAATTTAATATATTTATTTGCCAAATTAAATAAATTTAGATTTGATATAAATGATTTACATTTAATTTATAAAAAATATAAAAAATTTTAATATTAAGCCTGAACTGTTCGAAGTATATTTGAAAAATTAATTTATAAAAAAATTAATATGAAATATAAATCATTCACGTTAAATCTGGCTTGTTCATATGTGTGAATTGATTTATTTAATTTTTTTATAATTTATATCATTTTTTATTTTAAAAAATGTAAAATAAAAAACTTCCAAGTCCACATTTCACACCTCCTCAGCGAAGTTGAAGCCAGCTCCACAAACAGAACACGCGCATGTATTGCAATCACAGCAAGAAAAACAATAATTTACCGAGAAAATTAATCTGTAAGTCATTATAGTTTATTTTATTTTAATTAAATCTTTATAATTTAATCTATTAGATATGTTAATTCCTATAGATTAAAATTAATAATAAATTATCAACTTCCCTAAAATAAAAACACTTTTGCAGGTTGTAGAAAATTTGATTCAATAATTTTGGCCAAAACAAAAAAAAAATTTAATACACTGTTTAAAAATTTATTAATTTTTAATTAAAATTCCATCTGTATAAAAATTATTTACAAAACAACCTAATTATATAAATCTTAAATTATAATAATTATGTAATTAATTTTAAAATTATATAATCTTTTAATGAATATATAAAATTTCATAATTTTATTTTTTAAAAAAATTCAAGGATTTCAACTTTAAAGAATTAAAAAAATTAATAGATTAAATTATAAATATTTAATTAAAATAAGGTAAATTATAGGAATCTAATTTAAAATTAAAAAAAGTTATAAGAACTTGTATATATATTTTTTATAATTTATTTATATATGAAGCCATTTGAATGACGTCATAGAAGACATTGTCCTTATTGTCAGCACATTCTGCTGCAATGTCATAATAGTATCATACAACTATTTGAATGTTATAATTAAATCGCCACAACTAAAAAGTTTTGGCTATTTATCTTCCTTTTCTCGCATTCATTTACATTGCATGAAGGAGAGAGCACACCCCTATGGCCCTTTGTATCCGGTGCCCCTAAGGAAGAGATCGCGGATGTTGAAACTGACTGAGAAATAACAAAAAGGTAGCAGAAGATAGGAAAAATTTTAAAAATAAGGACAAAACTTAAAAACTTAACTTTACCTACTTAATATACTTTTATCCAATTAAATTAAAATAATTAAATTTTAAAATATCAATAATATTAATAACAAAAGTATATAATAAATTCACATATTTTATTTAGAATCGGGGGCTTTAAGTATTAAAGATTATGTGCATAAGTGTTGTGAAAACTAGCACTGCTGTCGCGCCAAAAAGTAAGTTTCATCCATTTCCAACTCGATAGCTTTAAATAACAAGCCTTTATCAAATTAGTTTCAATTTGACAGATCTGGGATTCTGGGTTTGAGCAGCAACTATGGAAGCAGTGTATGCTAAATTCGAGCAAATTCAAATAAGGTTTGGCCATCTCACTTCACATCATGACATGTATAACGAAGCAGTACGCCTAATCGTCCATACATGAAGATACTATTGGCTGCACACTCATAAAATTCTTGTCGTTTGCGGTTTCCTTGGTCAGCGTGCTCGTCAGAACGTGGCCAAAACAATTCTTGCCACTCATTGGTCAGTGCATGTTAAATTCGAACAAATTCAAATAAGGTTTGAGCTAAATATAAAACATCATCTATTAACTGTTAAATTAAAGTATTTGAATAGATCATAAAATCATATGAGTTAAATAATTAAAAAATTAAGTTTAATCAACAATTTAAACAAAAGATTAGTCCCAATCCTAATGAAAAGCATCGGCCAGATAAGTACATTGAAGTCCTACCAATTACAAATACATCTTGTAGATTATTGATATATAAAAACACAATCTCAAATGATTCTGAATATCACGGAGACAGAATCATTATGCCCAAGTATCTTCGCAAAATAACTTTATTACTAAAAGTAGAAAATAGTGATTAAAGAGTGTCGTGAATTTCATGAAATTTTTGATTATTTGTAAGGACATTCTAAATTCTAACAAAGAAATTACCATTACTCTATTACTACAAATAGAGTACTAAATTGCAAAAGAGGAAAGGGACATCACTTAAAAAACTTACACTTTGCAGTTATAATTTTTAGGTTCATCAATTAGTTTTCCTTCTAGACTTGTAACTATTTACATTTTGTAACCTTTTAAGTAATAATCAAATATTTATTTTATCAAATCTTATATATCTTTTACATTTATATAAATTATAATAAGGGAGCTTAAGAATTTTTTTTATTATGAATTGAAACTCAACGTTTCTGATATATTTGATAATTTACAGTTCTCGGGAAACACCAACAAAATATAGTGCTCTCTCACTCATCGTCTTCTATCTCATCTTCATTATCTAGTCACTAAGGACAAAACAATTGCTCTATTCTACCATCCCTCACTTAACCCACTCATGCCATTTTACTTGCTACTTAATTTTCTTACTACACTCCAAATCGCCCTTATATATCTACTTGAACTCCACACAGGCAGCCCATAACCAATTCATGCCTTATAAATGTTGATTTTATAATGATTTTTTTTTTTAAGGAATTGCTATAAAAACTAAGATATATGCAAGTTTCAGAAAATGAGAAAATACGAGATGATCACCAACACCGAGCAATTACAAGGCCAGGCCAGAGATCCACAGATAGCAGGTAAACAAGTTAATTTAATCTTTGTATTCAAGATTCAAGTCTCACATATAGATTCAATCAACAAATAGATAGAAAGTCTCGCGAGTTTATGAGATTGCTGGATTGGAGTTCTTCCAAAGTTTTTGAACTAGTACCAGCAGCAGCAAAAGAATTGTTAATTGTTAGGCGGAACCTTCAATGAGTGGAATTTTTGGATTTGCCTTGCTTTAATCTCAAGCTTGAAACATTATACACCCGAATCTGAAATAAACATGCATGCATACATACATACATACATACATATATATATGCTATAGAAATTAAGAGTGGGGAAACTGAAGAAATAACATTATTTGCGAGCTACATCATGGTATGAAGTTGATCATCTATGCAGCTCCATCATCCGAGAGAAGTCCTCGAAGCACACAGACCCATCCCCGTTCCGATCAACCCCTGCTATCATGCGCCGGCAGTCGTCTAATGTGCACCGCTCCTCTCCGATGGCCTCGAAAACTCGCATAAGCTCCTCCGCTGAAATTTTCCCGTCGTGATCCGTATCAAAAACTTCGAAGGCCTCTCTCAACTCCTCCGAATCGCAACCAGGCTCGCATACCGAACCTACCCGGCTCATCAGTGCCTCAACGCTGATGCACCCTCTGCCGTCGTGATCTACTTCCCTGAGCATCATCGTCACCTCCTCCTGGCTGGGCGGCTCTGTACCAAGCCGGGTCAGCAGCGATTCCAACTGTTCCCTCGAGACAAACCCGTCATTGTCTCGGTCCATGAGCTTGAATGCATGGACCATATCACAGGGAAAATCGGACCAATCAGAGGAGAAATCAGGTAAGACGCTGGTGGGGGTTGAAGAACCGGCAACGCCGCTCGGAGCCTTGTGGATGGTTGATCCTTCAGATGAAGAAGAGGAGGTTCCGGAGCCAAAGGACGGGGGCCTGGATCTGGACACGGAGGAGCGCTCCTTCTTGGAGCGGAAAAGACGTTTGGGGTTCATAACGGTGAGCTTCATTGCCGAGTATGAAAGATGATGAAGAAGAGGAAGAAAAGGAAGACGAAGAAGAGAAGAAAAGGCGTTTGAGGAATGAGGGGAAAGAGGGAGGAAGGTGGGTTAAATGGAGGGAGTGAAGTCGGCATCAGCACGTCCATCATCGCCATATGGCCACACGGGAACCTTCCTCGAAGTTTCCTCTGTGTTTTGAGCATATAAAGGGCCCACTTTTTATGATTTATAATAAAAAGTGATATCCTGTTGGAAGTTACAAGGCGAATTTTTTAATTCAACGTTTTCCCAACCTTCTTCAAGCCTGTGAAGTGTGAACATTTTTTATCTCACTTTTTTTATTAGTAAATTAATTATATCTGCACTGATGGACAGATACAAAAAAGTAATTATATCTGCGCGAATGAAAAGTGGTTTTTATGCCTCTAACTAATTACAGAAAGTAAGCTTGGTTCCCAAAACAAAAAAAATTACGGAAAGTAAGGGATAATCGCGGTCCCAAATCACAGCTCAACCGGACAAAATGGGCCCACTCTTTTTTGGGTGCCATGGTCAACATTGTGTAACCAAAAAAAAAAAAGAAGGAAAAAGGAAAAGAAACACCGCTGCAGGAACTCTGCATCCATCCATGATCCAACACTGCTTGCCGTCAGCTTAACAGATCAAACGAGACATTAGAAACTTCTAGTTTTTTCTTCCTTAGAAAGCCCAGTGACTTGGAATTATTGAGATTATTAAAAAGTTAATCAATTTGACATGATTCTGTCTCTATTTTCGTGTGGAAACTAAGCTGCAACATTACTTCTTACCTTGCAATTACATGGGTAAACGCAATTGGTTTGTAGAATTACCGGAAGAATTACTCAAATGCTTTCAAGGGGTTGATAGTTGTCAAAGCCACGCTATCCATGTGATCACTACGTAGAAATTAGAAAATATTTCTCAAGAATACAATTAAGAACATATTTATTGATAATATTATTAATAATTTTTCCCTCATTGTATTTAGTCATATTATAATAAGAAATTAGTGACAAATAAAGAGAAGTAGGATAGAGCGTTTAGCTAAATGGATTTAAGTGAGAACATAATTACAAATAATTTGGTAAAAAGGAAAGTTATTTCATTGGAGTTCCTGAAATTCACATGCAATGCCCTTTTGCCATTCCGTTATTCACAGGTCGTACTTCAAGAGCTCACATTTCTTTTATATATATATATATATATATATATATAAGCGCTGTTAAAAAAAAAGCCAGGATAAAATGAAGCAAAGGAGCACACGGGAAAAATGGAAGGAGCACACGGAGAATGGGGACGTGAGAGAAGAGGCGCTGAATAATCAAAAAGCGAATTGAAGGAGTACAGTGTATGATAGTGATGATACCTGTGGTGCTGACAACTGACATGCCACGCTCTTCCCACGCGCATCTCCCGCTTCCCATTCGGCTGTGTGAATGCGGGCCCTACCTCTTCTCTCTACTTTGTGAATTGTAATGGCCCATCCGCTGGTGTCACCTATCAAGTTGGACCGCAAATTTGGGACTTGGGGATCCTACAGGTCCTTGTTGCATATTCCTCCCCAAAGCTGTCTTCCCATTTTTCCTGGCCAGTGGTCTCTCCGCACAACTCATGACTCTCGTACTAACGACATATTTTAATGCCTTGTTAAACAATGTATTTGGTTCAGGGCTACGCTTGACCCTGAACCCGTTATCCTTATCGCCTTACCTGTCAACTTTGAACTAAAAGCATAATAAACAGTTTCGGCCTCCACACCCTTGATTTTTCACACGTAAATAACGAGGCATGGAGCATCATCTTATAGTTTGTTGATCTCTTGGCAAGTGGGCTACAGTACACTCGTGCGGCTCACTCTCATTGCATTCCCCCTTCCCCCTAGGACAAGTAACATATTCATAAAAACAAGTACTTTTGGTTATTACCTCAATATTTATTATTATTGTTATTACTATTATTATTATTATTTTTTGGCCCCAAGAGCTCGAGTCCAACAAGCTTCTTCCTAAACATAAAGTGCTGACACTTGGTGAAAGCCCCTCGTGATGAACGTAACTACGATTTCCCACACTTTTATAGAAGCCTCCCTTGAACTCAAACATGATTTTAAACCTCCCACAAAAAAAAAAAAAGAAAGAAAATAAAGATGAGGTGGAGGCTTGATGGAGCGATTACACTGTGTTGGCGACTATCCATCCACTTAGGAGCTTACAGACTTACAGCTAAGGCTTCCATGCCCTAAAAATGGAAGGAAGACAAGAATGATCGAAACTAAATATAATGCAACACCTACATATATAAAATCCCAGGTCAATCTGTTTAGGAACCAGATCAATATAAAATTCCTAAAACTGTCTGAGATAGTATATAAACATTATCATGCAAGGAGTCTAGAAACGGCCTAGCATTGTTTAGTTGGTTGAGTTCAACACCCCAAGGTGTGGAGGCAAGAGCCAGAAACTGAACGAACGATTCCATAGCAAAGGTGGTAGCTACCAAATTCAGGTCGTCGTAGAAAATTTATGTATAGAATCATTTTTCCTTCTGTACATTCCTGAGTAATCCAAATGATGGGCTACATTTCAAGGGAAAAGAAAAATGGAGGTCCCTCGGCAGGAATACTATCCGTGTTATTTACAATCTGGAAATCAATAGCGACAAAATATTAAAATCGCAGGAAGAAAAAATATCGTCAAAATCAACTGTCAATAATGATCTGATCTCCTTACCGACATCTGTATCAGTATCAGAATGGTCCCTAGCTATATAATTAAACTCGGGTTTCCCCTGGGGAACTGGTAGCTTCGGAATCATCATCTCCACACTCAGAAGTTGCGCTAGCCGCATCCATATCATTTCCTGGACAGTCAATTTGCAAACATTCAGCAACTTCATTGTTGTAATTTTCAAAATCATGGTTCCTGTTCAAAGTTGTCAAATCTTCTTTCTTTACAACATTAAACACAATCCCATTTTGGATTCTTCCTGGCTGCAAAAAATCGCCCTCGGTTACCATTATGCTAGATCCATTCATGACTAACCTATGGTCAATTTCTTGATCAAATTCTATGCCTTCAGAGCTCCTATCAAGGATGTTGACCCTTGGACCGTGATTATGCTGAAAAACTTGAGAGTGCAGATGAGCTGCCACGCCGTTCTTTAGGTCAGTATCAACATCTAAGTTTTGAACAAAGTCAATAAACATATTTGCTGAAGTAGTTCTCATCAAGGGGCCACCAGATCGTGTCCAAGAATTCAAATTGACACTGTCAGATTCACTGTCACTTTCATCATGTATGGGGCGGTGGGTTTTCCAATTTTTACCTGCAGCACCTTGATGCAAAGAGGAACCAACATCTGTTAGGTCTTCCTCAAAGGAACTCGCCGAATTCTCTCGTGCAATGCAATTCCACGAGGGGATTCTTCCTGAAGCATTGAACTTGACAGAACTGGCCAGACCAATAGAAGAAGCAGCTGCTCTTTCAGAACTTCTCTTGAGTCTTCTCATATGACTGAGAACAGCAACACATTCATCAAGAACAAGCTCAGTGCCACAATTTGCTTTTATGGCTGAAAGCTTCGCCCAGGTGCACCTTCTCCCTTGGTTGGCTGCCTTTTGAAGCTCCCCAAAAGAAGGGTTTTGTATAATTTTTGAGTACTGGTATCGGACATTTATTAAAAAAAAAAAAGGACATCACATGCTAATCACTCACTAGTCCAATAGTCATCCCTAGTAAATGGCACACAAGAAGATTCCTAAAATTTTAGCGAAACGTGAAATAGAAACTTGATCACAGCATATAATTTTGAATATTTAGTAGCTAAAGCCTCCATAATAACCACAAATTTTGCTTCAGATTAATATAATTGAAACAATATTTCCCCCTCAAACAACATCAAAGAAGCACACACCTGGGCAAGAGTTGCGGGCATAACAACAGTTACATCACCCTCCCAGTCTTGAGCAAACAGCTTTGCGAGTCCGCCTAATGGAAAGCCAAGTTCTAGTACCTGATTACATCTATGTTTCACCTCCATCTCAGCAAGATGAGCAAGCTACAGGATTTAAAAACACAATGAACATTATCAGTTCATAATAGAAACATTATGTCAAGGGTAAATTGCAGACCAGATAAATAAGATGCAAATCCTACGTAAAGGATTTCACATTATGAAACATGAAAGAAGCTTGCTCGCAAGTGAAAACAAAGCGGGAACTTCCTCTTTTAAGTCATCCAAATTTTCCAGGAATGGTTTTCCCATAAACATTGTCAGGGCAGTGGAGTCGGAGATGCAATTAAATTTTACAAGGGTTTTGAGTAACAGATAACAAAACCATACTGCTCAATAAAACAGAGCATGCCTAAGCACACACCAATAATTAAAGCATGGCAACAAGGCTAAAATTCTACAACAGATATGAATAGATGAAAACATTTGATCTATCACTCTATTGGTAGTTTGTCAAACATCAAGGAAACTCTTTTGTAGTAATGGATCGTAACAAAGCACCAGCTAACAGAAAGCAGCGAAAAATTTCAACCTTTACAATTATTTAACATCACATCAATTCATACTTTCTTCTGCCAAATCAATATACCTGAGACATTAGTTGTATTTTTGGGGTAGAAACAGGTATGAAGTTCACATAATGACAAGAAACAAAAGCATATTTTTGTATAAAGTAGCGTCATTATATGAAGGTCCAAGTCCATGATTACATACCTTGGCAGCAAAATTGCCTCCATATGCTCTCACAAAGTCTTTTAATCTTAACAATGGTGAAATATGTGGATTGGCCTGGCTGACAATAAAATGATTGACATTAAACAGCTCTTTTAACTGCATCATCGGTAGATCGATCTCCAGGCTCCCATCCCTCCAGCGACGTATGGGTGTAGATCCTTCCTCAGGGCCCAAATTGAATGGAGGATGGTAAGGAACAATCTCTCCACTTCTATCCTTTGCCATTAGTTCCTGAGCCTCAAAAAGGCCAGGAAAGGCACAAGAAGCAGTGACCGCACTCCATATAACAACATTGGGTGAAGTCAAGTAGTTAAGACATCTAGGCGGTT